CCCTGACTTTCAGGATGGGACCAAGGTTCGTGTCGACCCCTCTCCCCCAGCCCCGTCCGTGGCGCGGTGCGCATGCGAGGCGGGAGGAGGCCGTAGGCGAGAGGTTGCGCATGCCCAGATAGTAGCGGCCGGTGACCCTACCCGCTCACATGCGGAGCTCGACGATGATTGGTTTGAATTTAAGCGGGGCGTGAATTCGGGCGCTTCTGCCCCGCCCCCTGGCCTGGCCGTGTGGCCGCATTGGTGGGGGAGGCCGTCCGTCATCCCCAGCGCCTCCGGTGCTCCGGGGCCCGGGTCGCTGGGTGTGTGCCCCTGGACGGACGGGCGGGCCTCCTGGCCGCACCTGGGCCATCTCGGATGTGTGGACGACAAACTGGCCTCGGAGAGCGCGCCCAGGGGTCGGCCCTGCCTGCCAGAACCCTTGGCAGCTTCCCGGTGGCCTCCGCGGGCGTCACTGGGGCAGGGGCGGCGGAGCAGTGAGCCACCTGCCCGGCCAGGCCCCGCCGCAGCCCTTCCCCGAGCGCCTGCCTGGCCAGGCCGCCCCTCCTGCGGGAGAGCCCTTCCCAGTTGCCATTGGCCTTAGTGTGAGGGATTACGCCGCAGGGCCCGCAGAGCAGCGTGGGCCTCACACACTGAGGACTAAGGCAGGCCCCGGCTGACCGGACTGCAGAGGGAGGGAGCTGGGCGCGCCGCTGGCCAGCACTGCCCACGTGAAGGCGAAGACGGCAGCCTGGCCCCTTGGGGAGCAGCCCAGTTAGCCGAGCACTCTGCAGAGAGGTGGGGCGTGGGTGTGGCTGCCTGCACCCACGGGGTTCTTAGAAGGGCGCTCCTGGGAGACACCAGGACAGAACCGTGTGAGGACAGCGGAGCCTGTGAGCAGAGGCCGCAAACAGCACTTCAGGTGACAGCAGAGACTGGCCACCGTGCTAACGGCCCACCTGTTTCCTTTCCTCCCCACCACCAGGGTCAGGCCCGTGCTAGAGCCCCTTTTACTGAAGAGTGAGCTCCCCTGACCATATCCTGCCAGGGGGCCTCCTTAACCACGTGACCCTCCGCTGCTCCAGCCTCTGGGCCCTGCCCCTCAAGCCTGCCATCCAGCTCCTACTCCCCATCCCACCCCACGTCTGCAGGGCAGCCGAGACTGCACCCCGGCCTTGCCGTCTCAGCCGAGGGCGCAGCCAGCCTCTGCTGCTCAGGCCTCAGAACCAAGGTCTCTATTGCCCGTCTGCTCTCATGACCCCACAGCAAATTTTGAAAGTACTCTGGAATCTGACACCCCCCCCACACCTACCCCCCCACTTCCCCCCTCCCGTGGCCTTCTACCGCCTCTCCCTTCATCCTGGCCGGTCTGCACCTCTCCCCTCAGAACCCACGCAGGTCACGCGCCTCCTCTGCTTGGGGGCTGCCGTCTTCCGGTAAAATATATAAGTTCCCCTTATGGCCTAAAGGGTTCTGGGGTCCATCTGCTGACTCTGGGGGGTCCCTTGGTGCACCCCTTCTTTACTCTGCCCCTGCCACACTGCCCTTGCCGCTGCTTCTGGAAGGGGCTTTGTGCTGTCCCACGGCGAGACTTTTGCACATGCTTCTTTTGGCCTAGAAAGTTCCTGATCCCCTTCCACCCTGGCATTGACCCCGCTTCTCTCTCCAAGTCTCTGCTTAAGCGTGGCCTCCTCCGAGAGGCCCCCCTGTCCCCAGCCCCTTGTTCGGTTTGAGGCTCGTCCCCTCCCCGGGGGTCTCCGTGAGCGCCATGGGCAGGGACTTTGAGCCGCGTGCTGCTGCGACAGTGTGAAGCCCAGGCTCCTGCCAGGCGCTCAGTAAATTAAGACAGCTGGAGCCAGACTGTCTGGACTCTTCCCCAAGCCTGTCCAGCCAGTCACTCCTACTGGGTGACCTGTCAAAGCCAGGTGAAGGGCAGGCGGTGACCCAGCAGGGGCTGGCTCGCCCTTGGGGGCTTGTGGGGGCTTGTGCCCTGGTCTGACCCCACGTGTGGCTCACAGGCCACATTCCACTACCGGACCCTGCACAGCGATGGGGAGAGCACCGTGCTGGACGACAGCCGGGCCCGGGGCAAGCCCATGGAGCTCATCATCGGCAAGAAGTTCAAGCTGCCCGTGTGGGAGACCATCGTGTGCACCATGCGTGAGGGCGAGATCGCCCAGTTCCGCTGTGACGTCAAGGTACGGGGATCTGCCCCTGCCTGCAGGGTCTGGCCTGCGTGCCCCCGTCCCCGTGCCTACTCCGGCCTGGCATCGTCCCCCTCCTCTGCCTTCCACGCTCCAGCAGCCTGAGTGCAGCCAGGAGGCGCGTTCTCCAGTGAACACACCCAGCAGCCTCTTGTTCTGAACCTCGCTGCCCCATCGCTGTGGTGCCAGAGCATTACTCCGGCCCTGCCGTGCCCTGCAGGGTCTGGCTCTTGCCCTCCTCTTCCCACTTGACCCCCAGCCTGCCTGTCCCCTTCTTGGCCAAGATTCGCCATCATGCTTCAGAGCGAACCCCTGCATCGCCACCCCGAGGAAACCTCCCCAACGGCTGCCTTGGTCCCCTCCTGCCGTGTGGCCTGGAGCTTGGCCTGTACCTGGGCCTAAGCTACTGCAGGGCAGGGAGCGACCTGTTTGCTGGCATCAGCATGCCCAGCACAGGCCAGCCCAGAGCCAAGGCCCAGGATACATCCGCTGGCGGGTGGACGTTAGCCCGGCAGTCCGCCCCCGGGCAGGCAGCGGGCCCCGAGAAGAGCTGGCGGCGGGAGGGTGAGGGGCAGCCCCCTCCCCACCTGCAGGCTGTCGCCTGCTCCCAAGGGTCCCCCCGTGGCTCCGAGGTGCTGTCCTGGGCCCAGCACTGAGACAAGTCCAGAATGGGGTGCAGTGGGCAGGGGCAAGGGACAAGGTGCTGGCATCCGCTGAGGGACCCAGCAGCAGCGGGCTGAGCATCCCCGGACTGTGAGGCGGCAACGTGGGTGCGCGCGTGGGAGGCGTCCCTGCCAGAGGGCTGGGGAGCCCGCCCGCCTCCCCGCGTTGGGGGCCTGTGCCACCACCGCGCCCCGCCTCGTGGCCTCTCTGACAGTCACGGGGGTCCTCCCGGGTCGCGAGCGGCCGGCCCGTGCTGACTGACCCGTGCGCTCCGCAGCACGTGGTCCTGTACCCGCTGGTCGCCAAGAGCCTCCGCAACATCGCTGCTGGCAAGGACCCGCTGGAGGGCCAGCGGCACTGCTGTGGCATCGCGCAGATGCACGAGCACAGCTCGCTGGGCCACGCCGACCTGGACGCCCTGCAGCAGAACCCCCAGCCCCTCGTCTTTGACTTTGAGATGCTCAAGGTGAGGCCCAGCCCCGTGGACCCCGCTACCCAGCTCCCACAGGGGCCAGGTCTGCGCACCGCCTAGCGTGCGGGTGGACTCTTGGCGTGGGCAGGGCAGGTGCAGGAGACCTGGCGGTCCCCATGCCCCCCTGGGGCGTCGCCCCTCGCAGTGTCAGCGAGGGCAGACGGTCCCCTCAGGACCTGGCTGAGGCCCCGGGCACACGGGAGAACGGTCCGTGAATCGACGAGCGGTCCTGCCCTGGCCAGGGCCCGGGACCCGCCGGTCCAAGGCTGGTCAGGCCTGAGGCTGGAGAGGCGGTGCTGCCCCGAGGGCCCCGCTCCAACTGGCCCCTGCCTGGCAGGTGGAGGACCCTGGCACATACCAGCAGGACCCGTGGGCAATGACGGATGAGGAGAAGGCCCAGGCCGTGCCGGCCATCCACCAGGAGGGCAACCGGCTGTACCGCGAGGGCCACGTGAAGGAGGCCGCCGCCAAGTACTACGACGCCATCGCCTGCCTCAAGAACCTGCAGATGAAGGTGCGCGGGCAGCCGCGGGCGGGGCAGGGCGGGCGGGCGGCCTGGGCTCAGCGCCCTCCCTGCCTGCCTGCAGGAACAGCCCGGGTCCCCTGACTGGATCCAGCTGGACCAGCAGATCACGCCGCTGCTGCTCAACTACTGTCAGTGCAAGCTGGTGGCCCAGGAGTATTACGAGGTGCTGGACCACTGCTCCTCCATCCTCAACAAGTATGAGGGTGAGCACGCCCGGCCTCCCTCTCCTGGGCAGTGGGGCGGCCACCTGGCTTGCGTCACCGCGCTCTGAGCCCCCCAGAGCCCACCTGTGCTCCCGCCCAGGCAGGGCCACGGGCCCCTCGTGCCCCTGGGGGGTGAGTGGAGGCATGGACTGGGGCTTCAGGGTGGAAGGTGGCCCCGCTCACCCCGGTGTGCCTGCCGCCCACTGTACCCCGCAGACAACGTCAAGGCCTACTTCAAGCGGGGCAAGGCCCACGCGGCCGTGTGGAACGCCCAGGAGGCCCAGGCTGACTTCGCCAAGGTGCTGGAGCTGGACCCCGCCCTGGCGCCGGTTGTGAGCCGGGAGCTGCGGGCCCTGGAGGCGCGGATCCGGCAGAAGGACGAGGAGGACAAGGCCCGCTTCCGGGGCATCTTCTCCCACTGACGCGGCTGGCCCGGCCGGCCCTGCCGCCGCCAGCCCACGGCCCTGTCTCCCGCCTCTGTGTATAAAGGCCTTATTTATCTCTCTCTGGGCAGCCAGCTGATTCCTTGGGGGAGCCAGGTCACCGCCTCACACTCCCTGACACTTGGGTGGTCTCGGACGGCTCAGGCCAGGCTCCGCGCCCTGCTGCCTGTCCATCACCCGAGACCTGTGACACAGTGAGGGCAGCTCTGTCTCCAAGGCAGTGTTTCTTGCTGGCCAAGGCTGGGGTGCAGGAGCCTGGGGTCCCCAGGGACGTGCCAGGGGTTGAGTGCTGAGCGGGTGGTCTCCAGCCCCTGACCCCAAGGTGGCTCCCGGAGCAGTGGTTTCCGTGAGGAGCCGAGTCTGGGCAGAGGGTGCCCCTGCCAGCTGCGGGGCTGGCCCGGGTAGGGAGGCTTGGCAGGAAGGGCCTCGGGTGGTGGACAGGACAGAGCCCTCCCGAGACAGACTGCGGCCCCGGCCCCTCCCGGCCTCGAGCCCCGCTGGACCCTGGCGCTGGTGGGATGCGGTGGTGTTTATTTTCATGGATTCACACACGCTGGAAAGGCCTTTGGGTCCCGGCTGCACCCCCCTCCTCCCCTGCCGTGTCCACCCACGGGAGCGAGTAACGCCGAAGGGCGGGCAGGGGTGCCGGGCAGGGCCGGCCGGCCTCCGCGCTCGCCACTTGGCCTCGAGTCTGAGCGTCGCTGCCCCAGTCCTGCCAGTTTGGCCTCACTCCTCACTGTCCAGCTTGAGGCTGATGCTCCGGGCCTTGCCCCGGGCCAGGGTGGTGGGCGGGGTCCCCGGGCCCTCGCGCTCCGCCTGGCTGGGCCCCCGCGAGCGAAGCAGCTGGCTCTGCTTGCGCAGGAAGTCCACCGGGGCGGCTCCACTGTAGCTGCTCTTGGCCAGGGCAGCCCTCGAGGGGCCCGCGGGGGCATGAGGGTGGGCGCCCGCCTCCAGCTGACCCAGGTGAGCCACGTAGCCGTCCGACAGGAACTGTGGACAGAGGGAGGGTGGGGAGAGAGGCTGCTGGGACCCACTGCCCGTTGTCCGTGCCTCCCCAGGCCCAGGCGGAGCTGGCCACAGGCCACGGCCTCCCAGCGGTGGCAACCCGGCCAGCCAGGTGCCAAGGCTTTGCCCTCAACTCTGCCCTTGGCCTCAGCTTCTGCGAATGTGCCACGGAGTCACTCCTGGGCTCTAGCTTTCTGCCGGCTCTGGGTTTCGCTGTGCCGCGAGGTGGTGCCGGCTGCCTCCGAGGTCATAGGCCAAGGCGTGCCCAGGGCCAGGCCAGAGTGCAGCCAGCCTTGACACCCCGAGTTACAGCCCAGGGTGTGACCCTGTCCTGGGAGGATCCCAGCCCCCCCGGCCCCCCCAGGCTCTCCATGAGGGGTGGGGAGGGGGAGGTGCTCGACTTGGCGGCCAGGGCCGCCCGGGAGCCTTGAGCTTCCTCTGAGCACTGCCCTCCGCCCTCCCACTGGGGTCCTGCTCCTGGGGGCCCCCTGGCGCCCGCCCACCTGGCACTGAGCCTGCAGCTTCCGCACTGCGCGGCCCACGATGTAGGTCTGGCCGGGGGGCAGACCCAGCGCCGCATACACAGCCACGTCTTTGGGGGACCCGTATCCGGCCACGATGTTCAGTTCCACCTGTGGCAGAGATGCTATCAGCCCCCAACTTCCCTGGTGTTGGGGGGGGGGGCCTTGTGCTCCAGGGTGGGTTTTCTTCAGGGGTGTGGCTTGTTTTTTTTCTGTTTTTGTTACCAGGCCCCGGAAGGCAGGCGGCGCCCCTGGAGTCCTCCTGGGCCTCGGGGTCGGGGTCCCCTCCACCACCAGGGGGCAGGACCGTGGGAACAGCTGCCGGGCGCGGCGAGGGGGCGGAAGTGGGGCTGGGCTCCCAGGAGAGGGCGCCGGGGCGGGGCTCCCCCACACCTCCTGCACGAGGCCCTGCAGGAACGCCGCCTTCTGGCGCAGCGGGTCGTGGGTGAGGCCGTCACAGAAGGAGACCACGCCGTGGGGGAAGTTGTGCTGCGACAGCCAGGCCACCACGCGGTGCTTCTGCATGTCGGGCCGCCCCGTGACGTACAGGATCAGGTAGCCCGCGTCCTGCCAGTGCCTGCGGGGCGGGCCGGTCAGCCGGCGCCCGGCGGGGGGGGCCCCAGGCGCCAGGGCAGCCCGCCTACCTGACCACGTCCACCGCGCCGGCGCGCACCTTGGGGTCGCTGCCCATGATGGAGACGCTGGCGGTGAAGGAGCCGTCGATGCTGAAGACCACGGCCTCCGTGCCACGCGCCACCACGGTCAGGCAGCACTCAGCGTACGTGTGGTCGCCCCTGTGGCCACGGGGTGCGGTGTGAGCGGCCTTGGGCCCGGGGCCCCGCCCGCAGAGGCCCGCCGGCCGGCGCTCACCTGACCACCATGCGCACCGGGTAGACGCCGATGCCCAGGGCACGCTCCGGGGGCACCGGGAAGGTGAGGCGACCGGAGCTGTTGGTGACCTCTGTGCCGAAGTGGATCCACTTGCCTGACAGCGGCTGCGTCATCACGTAGACGTCCACCTAGTGAGACGAGGGGCCCCGTGGGCTGGCGGACACCCCCACCCTGAATGGTCCATCGTGGGGTGAAGGGGGGCTCCAGCTGCAGGGGCTGGGGGGCAGCCTGGCCAGGACGGGGCTGGCGCAGCAAGGCCAGAGGTTCCGACCTTCTCTCCAGTGAGCGTGACCACGTCCAAGGGCCCGTACATGAAGCGCCCGCTCAGGACCTGGGGGCGGCCCTCGCACACCACCGTGTCGCTCCCCCGGTGGTTGGACGTGACGTTCTGCAGGGGAGACGGCGCGAGCCAGACTCAGGGTGCAGGCACGGGCGGGGCGCGAGCCCACCGCTGCGGAGGCTGCGCTTTGCTGGCAGGGACTGGGTGCCGTGCGGAGGGGGAGGCCCGCTCAGACCGGGGCGCTGCCCGGGGGGTGCGGCGGCACCCAGGAGCTTGCAAGTGGCCCGAGGAGGGGCGGGTGGGGCAGGTACCCGGATTTTGACTTGGGTGCGTTTGCGCTGCCACTTCTCCCTGGGGAAGGCCGGGCTGTAGATGGACGGCTCCTCGCACTCGGTCAGCTGTGGCCGCTCCTTCTCGATCACCTGCGCGGGACGGGAGGGGGGCGAGGCTGTGTGAGGCGGGGGCCGGCCTCCCGCACCCCCCCGCACCCACCCCTGGGCGCACCTGGCGCAGGATGAAGGCCACCACGTCCGCCGACTCCCAGTAGCTGGCGTGGAAGAGGTGGGGCAGCGTGACGGTGGGGAAGGCGGTGAGCGCCTCGGGGCAGTAGAGCGAGTAGTCGATCCGCTTGGTCCCCCACCAGCGCTCCAGGACTGCCAGGCAGCGAGTCGGGGTGACCTCACGGGCCACCTGGCGAGCCCCTGGGGCGCTTCCCTTCCTCCTGCCCCCAGCCTGCTCTTGGCCGAATCCCGGCTGGGTGCTGCGGGGTGTTTCCGCGGGACTTTGGGGTCGGGCACGCGCTCCCCCGGGCTGGGCGTCCGGCGGACTTACTCCTGACCACCTCGCTGGTGGTGCTGGGGGCAGCTGGCTGGGCCGGGGGCTCGGTGCCTAACTCACTGCCCTTCCAGAAGGCACCGCTGGCAGAGGTGGGCGTAGAGGGCACCAGCATCTCCAGCTCCTCCAGAAAGAGGCCCGAGTGGGTCTGCAGGGTGTCGGCTGGGGGTGCAGGGGCAACCTCAGCGCGGCCGGCCTGCGCCCCCCTCCCGCCTCACCAGGGTTCTGAGGGCTGGGCTGCCTGCACCCCTTCTCCCCGCCAGCCCTCCGGCGGTCTGGGCTGGGGCGGGGCTGCCCGCAGCTGAACCTCCCCTAGCGCCCAGCGGCCACTGCGCTCCTGCCAGACACCTGTGCCCGCCACCCCAGCAGAGGCCCACTGTCTCCTGGGTGCCCACCTGCAGGCGTCCACTCGCCGCAAGGTGCCTGGCGGCTGCCACCCCAAGCCAGTCTAAGCACAGCCCGGCCCTGGGTGAGGGGCACCGGGGTCCAGCTCGCCCCAGGGGCCGGGGCAGGCTCGCTGGTCCTGCGAGTACTGACACTGACGTGGGAACTGCCCCGTGTCCTCCTGGGGGACCCACCCCAGCCCGCAGGCCGGCGCCTACCCAGCAGCAGGGACGAGCCATCTCCCAGGGGGAACTTCTGGTAGCGGGGCACAGTCAATGGGGCGATGGCCTGGAACTTGGGGGCCAGCAGGGGCTCAAGGCGGGAGGCGCAGGGGTCGGCCGCGTGGAAGAGGTTGTAGATCTGCTCGCAGGCGGGGCGCATCTGGGTCACTGGCGTCCAGGAGATAAGGGTTGGGGCTTGAGCGGCTTGCTGTGCGCACGGAGGGAAGCCCCGGGCATGCCGGGGACCCCGCGCCAGCAGGCACTCCCACACCGCACCCCTGGGCGGTCCCCGTCCTGCCCAAGTGAGCCTTCTCGGCTGAGAAGGAATGGCCTGCTATGGCCCCGACCGAGCCCGGGACGGAGCGCCCCCGCGCTCGGGGGCCGGCCGGACAGCCCCTTCTCGCTGGCCGCAGTCCCCCTTCTCCGGCCGGTCACTGAGTGGGCACAGGGGTGACGGAGTCCGGCGTGGCGGGGGAGATGAGAGAGCAGAGGCGCGGGAGGCAGCGGAAGGGCAGGGCGAGGCGCGGGCCCAGCCCAGGGCTCACCCTCCAAGGCGGGCATCACGGTTTTCCGAAGAGCCAGCACCAGGCCCAGCGGGGAGCCGAAGAGGAAGAAGCCGGAGACCTTGAAGTCCAGGCGGGCGGAGCTGGCGGGCCCGTCTGCAGCCTCGGCGCCCGCGGCGGAGGGGCAGGAGACTGCGCTGACCCTGCGGGGCTCCCCGGAGGCTGCGGTGGGGGGCGTCGCTTGCAGGCTGTGGGGGAGGAGGCCGCTGAGTGTGCGCCCCGGAGTCGGGCGCCGGGCGCCGGGGAGGCGGGGCGGGAGCTACCTGCTCTGAGAGCCCTGGGGCTCCGTGCCGGCCGTGCGCTGGGCGGGCAGGGCGGAGGGCTCTGGGCTGGCGCGGCCCAGGCCCTCCGCCCCCTCTGCCAGGGGGTCCCGCAGCGGGCCCACCTCCGGGGAGAGCAGCTCGTTGTTCTGGATGGAACGGGAGAGGAAGCGAGCTCAGGACGGAGATGGCCACCTCCACTCACTCCGAGCGAGGACAGGCCCGGCGGGCGGGAGGGGCTCAAAGAGGCGCCAGAGGGGCAGGAACGGCTGCCAGCAGCCCAGGGCCTCCTGCGGACGAGGAGCAGCCCACTGACCACGCTCCCCCGGCGGCTGCTGCACCGGCTCCCGGTGCCCACGCTGGCGCTGTGGCAGAGCGCGTCGAAGCCCAGGATGCCGCCCACGCCGTCTCCGATCAGCACGACCTGGGGAAGGGCAGGGCTGCCAGGGGCTGCGGTGGACGGGGCGGGCGGCCGGGGGCTCCCGGGCAGGCTCCCAGCACCCCTGCCCCCGGACCTGCCCACAGAAGCCGGCGCCCTCAGACGAGCGCAGGAAGGCGGCATAGGCCTGGTTGGTGCGGGCGATGACCGTGGCGACCGCGCCCTGGTAGCGGGAGGACGAGGTGGCCAGCAGCGGCAGGGCGGCCAGTGGAATGTGGTCCTGGGAGCGGGACAGGCTGTCGCCGTCGTGGCTGTAGGGGCTCAGGCTGCAGGGGAGCGGGCAGCAGGTGGGCGTGGTGGCAGGTGCCTCCAGCCCCACCCCGAGTGCCCTCGGCCTGCTGGCAAGTCCGAGCTCCGTGGGGCCGTTCTGATGGAGCCGTGGACTGGACACAGGTATGCCTACGTGGGTGAGTGGCTCAGGCCCCTGCTTTCCCGGCCTCCTCCCCGTCCAAGGGGCCTTCTAACTCCCAGGAGCCCTGGGGGGCTCTCTGCACCTTGGGGACCCCTGTCCCCGCCCTTCCACCCCTGACCAGTACTTGGAGACTAGGGCATAGGCGGCGGCGCAGATGGGCGGGCAGGGCACCAGGCGCAGCGCCACGTGGCCCAAGGCCTCGGGGAAGTGGACGCGGGTGACGGCCTCGAAGGCCAGGCTCAGCGTCTGCACGTCCGCCTGCTTGGAGCCGGCGTCCCCAGGGCCGGAGTCCAGGATGTTGCCGCTGTGGAGGATGAGGAAGAGGGCGTGGACGGCGCAGGCCTCAGCCCCCAGCTCCGCGGCGCCGTCCGGACCCTGCGGACACAGTGGGCGTCAGGACTGGGCCCGGCCAGCGGGGGCAGAGCCTGGACGCGGGCACCAGCATGCTCACCTCCGAGTCCCTGGGCGCTCGCGCCCCGTCCCCGACGTCCTTGGTGGCCTCAGCTCCAGGGTCTGCAGCACACGAGAAGCCGGTGAGGAGACGGAGGGTCTGCGGGCACCCCCTCTGATGCCAGGCACTCGGGCAGCTCCCGTCGCCCGCCACCCTGCACCTCCGACCTCTCCCCGGTCTCCCGGCCATCCCGCCGCCAGTCCCGCTGCCTCAGGACCCCCGCGATGGCCGTCTGCCAGGGGTCTTTCCTGAGCCCTCCCCGCCCACAATGGTAGCCACTGGCCACGTGCGCCATAGGCGAAGTGAAATACAACACTCAGTTCCGGCCGTACCCGCCCCATTTCCAGCACCTGAAGTTTCAAGCCACCGTGGCCAGTGCTCACCCTCCCGGACGGCCCAGGCCAGCCCATCACCCCAGTTCTGAGGGGCCGGGCGGCCCTGCTGTCTCGGCCTTGGCGCCCCAGGCCCTCTGCGCCCTCCTCAGCTGCTGCGTACTGGACAGCCGCTGACCTTACTGGGTGGGCATCCACCTCCGGCCAGGTCACACTCGGCCCCCCAGTCCCGCCTACAGGGTGCTCGCGGCCACACGGGTTCTCTACCTGGCGCCCCCTCTGCCTCCGTCGGGGAGGCGAAGGCGTCGATGAAGTCATTGGAGTTCCACTTGGTCATCTCCTTGGGGAAGACCTCGTCGCTGTCCGAGAAGCCTTCTGGAGGGACCAGGGGCGCTGTCAGGGGCAGGAGGAGTGGCCGAGACACCCCACCTCCCCGTGGGGCGGCCGGGCGATGCTGACCGTGGGCGTCAAAAAACTCGTCCTCGGAGCTGTTCTCAGAGTCCCGGGCGATGTTCTGCATGCGCCACTCGGACAGGCTCTGGGGAGACACGCCCCCTGCAGGCGGGCG